TATCCACCGAGAGCAGAAGATCAAAATTGCTTAAAGTATGTAAGGCAAAAAATTCCTTGTCGCTTGATCAATTTGTTTCAGCCGTTTGTTCTATTACAATCAAGAGGGCCCCACATTGTTCTGTTCCAAAAAAAAATCGCTGGTTCATTTTGGCGTGCATGGGCGTGTGTAACTTTTGTCCCAAGCTCAAATATTCAACCAATTTGGTAGTAATCTCTGTTTTGTCTGTGCATGTTTTATTTTGACTCGAGAATGATAGGTCTATGTCACCACTAGGAGCTGGAATTAGGAATTTTCTTTTGAAAAAAACCTAGTTACCCCAATAAGAGGGGTAAAGAGTCAAAATCGAATTGATCGCACATGTTTTCATCTGTTCAATAAGAAAATCTTACTATGCATCATTAAAGATACACGATTGCATGAGCTCTTTACATGGTAACAAAATGATAAAATTCTATATTAATTCGAAAAAAGTCAAAGTTGTTGACCCTTTTTTGTAATGGTTACTTGAACAACATATGTCGAGCCCACTGCATTTACATAAGTAAATTCCAACACGTTTTAATCGGAGATTCGGACGGAAAAGGATGACGTTTATGGACGTGGGATATGCTTTTCGACGCGAGAGAAAAATGTTCAAATACTGACATATGATCAAAGATGATTGTACATAAACAAATAATTATAAACAACTTTACTAAAGTATAAGTAATCTTCAAGCAAAGAAATATGAAATAAGCAAGATAGTAGATTGAGTGTGGTTTCAAGTGTAAATACTTCTCTCTTTTTCTACAAATGTTACAAGGGTTGCTTATTTATAGAATTGTGGCTGACATGGTAGCCGTTGGATCAGAATCACGTGGCCTTATCTCTCAGGCCGAAGCCTCTCATCTCTCCATCTGCTATGTGTTTAATACATTGACAACATGTCAACCATCATATACATTATGTCGACAATCTTGATATTCATTATTACAAATATTGCATTAATCACTCCTAAAGCTTTGTTTTGGACATCTTTCGGTGTAAAGAGCTTCAATTTCTTCTTTGACTTCTTATGTAGTGTTTCGACTTCAGAGCTTCAGTCACTTTTATAGCAGAAGGGTATCTACTTCTTCTTTGAGGAATTCGACCGGGGGAGCTTCGAAATATCAGCTTTTTTTTTACTTCTTTATTTTGACTAATTGAGTCTTCGTTGACTTGGTCAAATTTGACTTAAATCTCCTCGTGACTATGATATGGTCTTCTGGTTGGAGTCTCAGCGGCGAGACGTAACAAAATCCCCATGTTTGTATATCATTCTTCAAGTTTTTTAAAAATTCATTTTCAATCACACATTTTTACAAAAAAAATTTTACACATAAATTTAAAAAATATTCAATCATTTTTAACCACACATTCTCTAAAAAATAAATACGGGTTTGATCTCTTGCCCACAATTGACAGGAGTTAATTTGCCCATCGTGGGCATGTCAACATCGTGCATTGCTACATGACAACACTCGATATACGTGACAACACTACGATATCATTTCTGAAAATTAATATTTCAAAACTCATTTTTTTCGAAAGACATTCTTTAGTGGACATCAAACAAAGTCAAATTTGTATTAAACTTGACTTACGTAAGATTCTCGCATGCCGGTGGTGGGTCCCATTGTACGTGGAAGTAATTCAAGTCGTCCTCAAACTCATTAACTTTAGGAATAATTGCAGCAGTAGTACCAAACCTTTCATTTAGTAACAGACTTTGTCCAAACATTTCATTCGTGCCACACACGGTACCACACCTTTCAAAATGTTGCAGATGAAGAGTCCAAATGGATGGTTTATTTTAATTTGACCGTAAGTTGACCAAATAATTAACATTAACAAAAAATTTGATTAATTTAAAATATTAAAATGATAACTTTACATTTTTTTTATAATAAAATAATCAAAATCAAATAATTAAAATTTAAAATTCATTTTCACATTCTTCTTCTCCATCCATCCTACACACTCCACCCCCACCTCAAATCTGCAAACCTCAAATTTGGGAACTTTAGAATATCCAGACCGCGGTTCTTCAATTCAAAAACTCTAGAACACATTTCTATCCTTCAATCGAAAATTCTAGAAGTGAAAAAATGTACCAATTAATCCAAATGATGAATAAATTGTTCATAATATGTCTGACAGAGAATTGCTTAGTTTTGGAAACGACTACAGTTCGAAATCATGGTAAGGATGGACGTTACCCTCAGCCAGGGTATTCTCCCACTGCAACTGTTTTCCCCGGTAAATTAATTGCTGCTCAATGACCGAATTTAGGTAATAGACTAAATTTTCTCGTGGATTGTTTTGGTGGTTGGTGCAGTAGGCTTGAACGACAAGGGTTCTCTTGGAAAACTTACGGACAAAGAATTGAAGGGGAGCATGGAAGCTGGTTGTCTCAGTAAGTGATGATTGGGGCTGGTATGTGATGGCCATGGTTGATGGTCAAATTGGAGTCCTTTCTTATCATGACGGCGTTTGGAGCGAGATGACGATATTTGGGATGGATGGATAAAAATGGTTTTCACTGTGAGACTGATGATCTATAGAATCAACAGAGCAAAAACCCTCTTCCAGTAGACTAATGTTGCTACCGGAAAACTGTGAATCTTCTATTGTGTTTTCGCTGTCCAAAACTGTCAATCGAGTATTTGATTTCCCAGATTTGGGGTGGAGGTTTGTGGGGTGGATGTTGAAGAAGAAGGTGGAAATATGTTTTTAATTTTAATTATTTGATTTTGGTTGTTTTATTATAAAAAAATGTAAAGTTGTCATTTTAAATTAGTCAAAAATATTTTTTAATGTCAATTATTTGGTCAACTAATGGTCAAATTAACAAAAACCATCTTTTTGGACTTTAGCTACAACATTTTGAAATATTGGTACCGTAAATGGCACAAATGAAAGGTTTGGACAAAACTTGTTACTAAATAAAATATTTGTTACCACTGCTGCAATTATCTCTTAATTTTATGCAAATCACCTTTTAAACTGGTGGGTTGGCCTTTTGACGTATGATTAAACTTGTTAAAAATGATAAGAGTAAATTTAATCAACACTCGTTCAACTTTAACATTGTTATTATTTACTCATTTTTAACGAGTTATTCTGTGCTCATTCATCTTATTATATATTTATTCATACATCACTCGTTAGGTAACCGTTCCAAATTGTGGAAGAAAAATCACGAGAATCATAATAAACGATTCTATCCACATTAAACCCACAAACGCACTAGGTTCTGTTTAGCAAGATCTTTCTTATTTTTACCAATTTTATGGTTTTTGTGTTTACATTCAGTTTTCAAACTCAATTTTTTAATTTTATTTTTATTTTTTGGATTTGGAAAATAAAAGGAGTGGCAGTAATTAATCACTGGCTGAATTCAACAAACTGAAATTGCGGGTTTGGTAGGAAAAAAAATTACTGAATTTTGAGTTCTGGATTTGATTGAAAAACAGAAAATGAATGGATGTAGATGAAAATGTCAAAAAGGAAATGAGGGAAAATTGTGATTGGTTTATACGTTGTTGTTGACATGGACATTTTTAACTCGGTCAACATGTAAGGTAGGATTTCCGTTTGCCACGTGCGATTTTCCATCCATCGTTTGAAATAATCACTTATTGGCAGATGGATGAGTAATTATATGGAGCGAGCAAATAATAATAATTTTAAAGTTCAATAATGAGTGTTGATTAAATTTACTCAAAAATAGTAACATTAGTTTCACATTTGTAACTTTGTAGGTCTGCAGCTATAAAAAACAATAGGCCCATTTGATATTTTTAAAAACCCATGTTTTTGTTTTGCTAATCGTTTTACATATGAAATTGTAAATATCTATCTCCATGTTGTGGTGTTTTAAGCCATCAAAAGATTTAGAGCCTTTAGTAAAAGGATAAAGCTACTTTACCGAAAGGATTTATTTGAAAACTTGACATAATTACATGTGACAAATGATTAAATAGAAAAGTTAACTGTGTTTTAAATTGTCCAAACGTAAAACTAATACAGAAAAACTTCCACATATTTTTATTTTCCAATATTATTTTATATGGAAAAAAGAATTGACCTGGAGGCTGGCTCTAGAATCCGCCAGACCGTCCTTGATGTAGATAATGAGAGAGCTACAGAAGTACCAACATAGTTAGAATGTCCTGAAGCACAAAATTATTTGGCAAAGCCCATTTGTACAGTCATTAGAGGGGTGTAAATTTACACCCCTGCACCCCTCTAATGACTGTACACATAGCATATTTCAAATTATTTAGATTGACCAATTAAGATTAGGGAATCTATTTTGCAGTGACAATGTTTATTGAATGTTTTACGGACAAGGGACGAGCATCTAAAACACAATTCAATGTATCTATACAGGCTTGGGGTCCATTTTAAAAGGCCAATAAGAGGAGTAGTCTAAATTCTTATATATTAGTTTATTTTCATCTTTATTCGATGTAAGATTTACCTAAGATATGTCTTCACGAGATAGTGGTTCATTTGAACAAATTAATCTTGAAATTCGCATACTTATTTTTTAGTTTTAATCGGATCGAATTGTTCGTTAGAGTTTAATATGTTTTGATACCATATTTAGACTGAAAGTTCCATTGTAAAAGGTAAAACTTGTTGAAATGAGTAGTCCAAATTCTTATATATTGATTTGTATTTTTATCTTTATTCAATATGATCAAATTTATTTCTTAACTGTATCTTCAAACTTTCTAAACATTAACAGTTCATCTATTTCACAATTTACATTGCACTATTTGGTGTTGACAAATCTTCAGATAAGAAATTTGTATAGCAATTTGAGGTGCATCTGTTCACACTAATATTCTAACACTGCAAAAGTGGACCCAACCAATATCAGTTTATTTCTCTATCTATTTATACTTCATATGCTATCGCCAATTCGCTTGCAGCTTAACACTCTTAAACCAATATTGATTCAAGAGTAAATGGATCCACTTTATGGATGGAGTTCTCTTACTTCTTCTTCATCATATTCCTCCTCCTCTGAATCTTCTTTGTCTCCCAGAAATGCAGAGACAACAAAAGGACCGTGGAGTGCGGAGGAAGACCAGATCCTCACCCGGATGGTGGAGCAATACGGGGCCCAAAACTGGTCCTTGATCAGCAAGTACATAAAGGGTCGGTCAGGGAAATCTTGTAGGCTGAGGTGGTGCAACCAGCTCAGCCCGACGGTGGAGCACCGCCCATTTTCCGCGGCGGAGGATGAGACCATCTTGGCGGCGCATGCACAGTACGGCAATAGATGGGCCACCATTGCTCGGTTGCTCACCGGGCGTACGGATAATGCGGTGAAGAACCGCTGGAACTCGACTTTGAAAAGAAAATACCAGCACAAACAAGTACTTGAAAAATCAACTGATGGTACAAAAAATGTAGCTTCTGGGTCTAGAATGTGTCCTGTGAGTAATGATTTTGATGAAGAATATGATCCGATGACGTCATTATCCTTGGCACTGCCGGGGGTTGGGCGGTGATATGGTGGCGAACTGAGTTAATCACATTATAACACTTAAAATTGTGTTCTAACATGAGTTTAACGTTCAACGTTAAACATTCATATATAAATGTAATAAAAGTTTTAACGTTTTTGAATTTTTAGATAAAAAATATTGATTCTTAAAATATTTTAGGCCATGTTTGATACCACCCAAATTCTATGGATTTTCCATTTTCCCAACAAATTCCCTGTTTGATGTGCAAAATTTGGCAGAGAACTCATTTTCCAATTTGGGATCCACGCGCTCCCCTTGTTATGAAATTCTATGTTTTCATGGAATTCCTTTTGTTTGGATTTTTGTGGGAATTGATATTTCAGGTATATTCTTTTTTTTTGCAATTGGAAAAAATTCGAGACACAATCGTAAAAAAATTTATCACTTTTATTGACAAATTTCATGCAAAACAAATACTGACCATACATATNTTTTATTGACAAATTTCATGCAAAACAAATACTGACCATACATATATATCGTTTGACTACTTTTTGTATGGTCAAAATAAATCAAGTCCAAAATAAGTCTAAGATCGGTAAAAATGTTGCTACAGAGCTGAAGTATGATGAAAATAACCTCAAATTTATTGAACACGTTTTATCGTTTGTGACCTTTTGACAATTTCTGTCCAAAAAGATCTAAGTGCAACAATAATCATAGTGCGAGGAGCTAAAATAAATAAAAAAATTGAGGGATGATCTAATTGCCACAAGGTACATAATTTGGAGATTCCAAAATATTCACTTTTTATTGCCTCATCCTACCTCATCCAAATCTTTTATCATCCCGTTTGGCATCCGTTTTATTCCCATTTTTGAATAGTAATTTGCCTTTTGTGTGGACCCCATGTACATTTCCCTGATAATTTCATCTGACAACAAAAAGTAAAAATGCCAGATTTGACCCGTTTACAGTATAAATTATCTTGCATTCCACAAATGCCCTTCAAATTGGTTCCTGTAACAAACGTGTACACAATTTGAAATGAGGTAGTGGTAATATTTTATTACATGGGCAGTTTGACACAAAATAATTAGGTTGGTTGCGTGTCCAATTGTTTCCCTGTTGCAAAATGAGTTTTGGCTAAAAATGAGATTCAAACAGGGGCTATATTAAAAAATATAGGCTTGGCCAATGTGTCAATCTAAAATTTGGGGTGTGTTTGAGCCACATTATTTTGCAAGAATGTATTTTGGAATAGTAGATTAATAGAGAATGTGTGGCTGAGAAAGAAGAAAAAGTTATTAATGTGATAAAAATATTATTTTATTGAAGAACGCGTGATTAAAAATGAGTAGAAAAATGAGAATGAAAATTTTAACATGACTCAAATAGGATCTTGAAACCAGTACAAGTCTATGTGCAAGCCAATTGCGACTAGGCTTATGGCGTGATAGGCTATGCCAACTTCAAATTTGTTGTAGGCATGGTCATTTTAAACCTAATCCCTCCAACTTTATTTGGTAATTCAACTTTAGAGACTATTCACAAATGAATTTGGTATATGCCCTTTTCTTTAAGAAGGTTTGTTTGGGGGTGAATTCTTGGAAATGCCTTGGGGTAAAGTTGGTGGGGGAATTTGTAGCTTGAATAATACTGTGGAGTTATGTTTTTTCGTTATTAGTAAAATGATATATTTGGACACTACAATTCTATACTATGATACAGACAATTTGGTCAGTGCTTAAACGATTTTAGATGCTTGTCCCAAGTCCGTACAACATTCAAGGAACAAATTCAGACCACAGGATAAATGACATTATCGATACGGTCCCACGCGTGAATAAATGCTTTCATGTGCTTAGTATCAGTTTAGATGACACAGATCTCACCTACGATATTTAGCCCATGTTTGGTCCCCATTTTCTAAAACGCGTTTTTTTCTTAAATTCATTCTCGTTTCATGGAACCCAATATTTTTATCAAATTATCAACCTCTCATTTCACTAATTTTTATCAAATTTTAAGAGTCGGTGACCCCGTTTAGTTACGAAAGTGTTAGATAATATAACTCTTGCATTATCAATTTGTTAAAATTGACATATCATATCACTCTTAAAGTAATTACGAAGTTATTAAAAGCTAAAAATCGAATTGATAGTGCATGTTTTCTTAGTATTCAATAGATAATATTGATGCACTCAAAATTAATACTATAAATTGGACAACATAACATTCACTAAGAAAAATTTACTTCGCATCATAGAAGATACATGATTGCACGTGCTCTTTAAATTCGTATAATCTCAAATTTAAGTCAAAATTGAATTTACGTGAGATTATTCGCATCGTAACAGGATTCACGTTAGTTTCACATTTGTAACTTTGTAGGTCTGTAGCAATGAGTCATGCTACTTGTACAAAGTTATGTTACAAAATTGATTTATAAAATACGTGTTGGCTACATTTTGACCAATGATTTAGAAAACAGTTTTTGAAATCAATGACGCAAGTCTTGTCACGTCATTTTGTCAACACTTGTAAACCACATTTGTACAAGTAGCATAATTGCTGCAGCAATAGTCGCACTTTGACATTTTTAAAATCCACGTTCTAAACATTAATAACAGTGTCCAAATAAAGACAAGACAAAACAGAATAATTTGGGGTCGACAAATCTTCAGATAAAAATTTTGTATAGCGATTTGGGGTGCATCTTCACACTAATATTATAACTATAAATATGGACCCCACCCCACAAAGTGCATGCACCTGTCTATCAGTTTATTTCTGTATGTATTTATACTGCACTTGCTTAATTAACAATCTCGAACCAATATTGATTCATGTAAATGGATCCATTTTATAGATGCATTTCATCTGTTACTTCTATTTCTTCTTCTAACTCAGACTCGTCGTCTGAATCTTCTTTGTCTCTGAGAAATTCGGAGAGAATAAAAGGGCCATGGAGTGCAGAGGAAGACCAGATCCTGACACGGATGGTGGAGCGATATGGGGGCAAAAACTGGTCCTTGATCAGCAAGGACATAAAGGGTCGGTCGGGGAAATCTTGTAGGCTGAGGTGGTGCAACCAGCTCAGCCCAACGGTGGAGCACCGCCCATTTTCCGCGGCGGAGGATGAGACCATCTCGGCGGCACATGCGGAGTACGGCAATAGATGGGCCACCATTGCAAGGTTGCTCCCCGGCCGTACGGATAATGCGGTGAAGAACCACTGGAACTCGACATTGAAAAGAAAATACCAGCACAAACAAGTACTCGAAAAATCAACTGATGGTATAAAAAATGTAGCTTCTGGGTCTAGAATGGGTTCTGTGAGTGACGACTTTGGTGAAGAATATGATCCGATGACAACATTGTCCTTGGCGCCGCCGGGGGTTGGACGGTGATGAAAAGGGCGTCGTCTTGCATGCAAAATCACTAATGGCCAATCATATTGGAGATTGAATTTTGAGTTTAATCCTTATCTCTGGCCTTGTACAAACCGTTACGAAAATTTCCAAAAGTGTAGCAATATCAATTATCACATGTTCAATCCAGAGAGAGTAATGTTATTTAGCCTGAATAATGTTATATTTAGCTTCAGGGTTACAACCACAATTTAAGTGACGTTAATGTGATATTAAATAATAGATAAAATTAAATAATTGAATTTCACATTTAATTTAATCTAGCATATAGGGTGACCTAATTTAAGATTGTAATCCCAATAGTGTTACATAACATTACTCTTTTAGAATAATCATACTACATGAAAAGAAAATTTGACATAATATTTAACATAATGCTAGATAACATTTCATCATTGAACTATTTTAAATACAGTCGGCTTTCATATTCAATCACACTGTATTTGGCCATATTCTTTTGACAAAGTAGCGTTGTTCTATTTTTAAAATAATAAATCTTACGTCAAAGTCTCGACAATTCAAAGGTGCTCAATTTTATGGATTTTTATTTTCAATAATAAGTGACATGATTTATTAATAATGAAATAATATAGAAGGGAAATTCAACCTAATCTCCTGCTAAAGATGCAATAAAATAACCTTAGCTCCTTGCCCTACGCAGGAAATTTTGTAAATTTATTTTTGTACCCCAAATTCATAATTACGTCAAAGTCTCCATGAATGGCTATTTTTTCAGTTTATTTATAAAAAAAAAGAGGTTCATTTTCCAAATTCATAATTACGTCAAAGTCCCCAAATTAGTTGCATAGGAAAATGGGACGACTGTTAGGTGGTGGTCAGGTACCAAACATGTCTTTATCCCAAGTAAAAAATATGTCCTAATTAAAGGGGATGTTCCCTACTTTATTATTTATTTCAATAGGTCGGCGCCGACCACATTCCCATATTTTAAACGTGCTCTACTTAATACCCAAATATTTGTCTCATCGACCGTGCTGGGTCGCATGCATCGACTGCATTTCATCACAATTTGTGAACTCAATGATTACATGTACAGTGACAAATTATGGAGCCTCAATACGTTTTCTAAATAATGTGGGTCTAAAAGTAACATGTGATGTGACGTACGTTGCTGAGATTTAAATGAGAGGTTTCGAGCCTTTTGACGTATTTTGAATTTTTTTACTCGTCTTTTGAGACTCTTTCACATATACTCAACAACCCTTCGAGGGTTACTAGCTTATAATAGTCACATATAATCGTTCACATAGACTACATGTAAAATATTATTAAAGTCTTGTCTGACCTTAAAAAACATTCTTATTTCAATCCAAACATAAGATTTATGTTCGAAGTTCAAACAATGAATCACGTGAAATTGACATTTTTTTTTATTACGCGTATTTCACGTAGGAACCTTTCGACCTAACTTTGTTATTTTTATCACGTTATTCTTCATGTGATACAACTCCCTAGTAAAAAAAGCTCTTTGCCATATAATTACATTTGCTTCTTATATCTTCAAAGAATACATGTATCTAATTTGAATTAGGCAATCAACTATTGATTCATTTGGTCACGTGAATAAACAATGCTCCTTTAAGTCAAGAAAAATAAAGGGAAGCTTAACCTTTTTGTAGTAATGGTGCATGCATATTTCAGAATTAAACTTAGCTCCATCAATGTATTTTCTTAGCGTGCACACTAATTGCTGACATCATGGCCGCAGTTAGGAGGACAAAGATTCATTCGAACCCTTGTATCTTCAGAAACAACATATGGGAAGTTAGGATGATGAAAATGTTGGAGATATTATACCGATAATGTGCATATTATATTAATCAAAAATATACCGTGAAATCGAAATATCATTCGATTTACCAAAATCTGATTTGAGAAGACAAAATAGTGATTACCGACTTCCAATATATGAATATGAATTCATCACTTTCCAATCTTGAACGCGTGTCATTCTTTAATTCAAACCTTGCATGAAATCAAAAGAATAT